TATTTTTTTTTTTTTCCTGTTATACTGTTTCTGTTTCTGGTACCGGGAATTGGACTCAGGACCTTGCACTTGCTGGGGATATCCAGTACAGCAAAGAAACCAACAAAATCCTAAACCAAAACAAATAGCAGCTGCAATGTAGAGTCCTGTGTTACGTGCACCTGAGGAGGTTGGGTGTGTTACATGGTGCTTTGGGGAAAGCAAAGATCCCTGGGGGCTTTTTCTTGACCTTTGCTCTGGTCGGGCATGGAAAGAATTTCTATTCTGTGGAAGGAAATGAGGTTCTCTTGGAATGTTTAGAAGTCCTCTTACGGGAAGTGTGGCTGGGATCCTTTTTCTGAAGCTCTTGTGAATTGGACCCACGATATAGCTCAGCAGCACAGGGCCTGCCTCGCCATTGCTAGGTTGTGAGTTTGATTGCCAGGGTCTCGCTGTGCAGTTCAGGTGTGCTGTAAACTCACAATAATCCTGCCTCAGCCTCCCAAGTGCTGAGATTTCAGGCATGCACCACCACATCTGGCCAGTTTTTTTTTAAGACAAGGTCTTGCTATGCAACTCAGGCTGTCCTTGAACTTGTGGCCATCCTCCTCCCTCAGCCTCCTGAGTTCCGGGATTACAGGTGTGTGCCACTAGGTTAATTAAGATCTTTTAATTTTCAGCAAGTGGGCTGGGGAGATGGCTCAGTGGAATAAGTGCTTCCCTGGCAAGCGCAACAGCCTGAGTTCAATCCCCAGTTCTGACAAAAATTAAAAAAAAAAGTTTAATTTTCAGCAAGTTATTTAACATATGGGTGATGCAGCTCAGTGACACAGCACCTGCCTGGCAAGTACTCTTTAGGGGCAGTGGTCAAACCTATGTGGGTTAAAGAACATAATACGCAAAACAACAACAAGACAGCAAAGAATGTAACATGCAAAGCAGTGTGCTTGGGATATAATGAGCTTCCAATCAACAGCTTAGTTGTTTTTTTTTTTTTGTTTGTTTGTTTGTTTTTGTTTTTTTGGGCAGAACCAGGGATTGAACTCAGATCCTTGTGTTTGCCAGTCAGGCACTTATCCTGCTGAGCCATCTTCCCGGTCCCTCAACAGCTTAGTTGTTCTTGTTAGGGAGGTTGTATTTGCCAGGGTACCAACCAACCCTTAGCTCCTGGGGATGCAGTTGGCACCCTTCAGCTATACGTCTGGGCCATAATTCTTTTTTTTTTTTGGTACTGGGAATCAAACTCTGGACCTTGTACTTGCCAGGCAGGTACTGTGCCACGGAGCTAAATCCTCAGCCCCTGGGCTACATTTCTTGCATAGGTTTGTTCCTGTAAACTAGGTCAATTGCTAATTTCACTATCTGATACCATAATAGGACACTTTGTAATTACATGCAATTTGGAGACCTCTAAATGTACACTTTTATAAATAAATGAACCCAGGCATGGTGTCACACACCCATAATCCCAGCCTTTGGGAGGCTGAGGTCGGAGGATCACCACAAATTTGAAGCCAGCCTGGGCTACATAGTGAGTTCAAGGCCAGCCTGGAGTGAGCTACACAGCGAGACTCCATCTCACACAAAACAAAACAAAAGCGTATATATGTGAAAACAGCACCAGCACTTACTACTACTTAAAGTTTTGCTCCCTAACCCTGAGCATCTCTCTTGTGCCCACAATTCTGCATCTGCCCACTCCAGAAGAGCCTGTAGCAGAGACAGTGCTGCAGCCAGCATCCCATTTGGTACAAACTGAGGTAAATCATGTACCTCACCCTTCATCATCTTCCAACTAAGGCTAATTCTGTCCTGATCTACAGTGTTGAAAGCTGTTTCCTTAATTTATTATGCTGTAAAATTTAGCTCTCAGATTATCCGATGGAAAAGGAGGCATGAACTAGGCTCCCAATCTCAAAGTTGAAAGAATAGATTTCTGCTGAGCAGGCATGGTGATCTCTAAGACTTGGAAGCCTGAGGCAGGAGGATCACAGAGAATTGAGACTAGCCTGAAGTCAAGAAACCAAAAGAAAAAAAAAAAGAAAATAATATTTTCCTGGGCCACAGAGATAGCTCAGCTATCTAGTGCCTGTCTAAGCAAGTGCAAGGACCTGGGTTCATTTCCAGTACTGTAGGCTGTCCTAGCCCAGCCCCCACCGATGGGGAGGCTGAAACAGGAGGATCACTGAGTCCAAGCTGTGTAGTGGGACCCTGTACCAAATACATAAAAATAAATAAAAGGAGGATGGGGCCAGGGAGATGGCTCAGTAGAATAAACGCTTCCCTAGCAAGCTCAAGGGCCTGAGTTCAAACCCTGGCTCTGCCAAAAAAAAACCCAACCCATTTTGTTTTTAGATCTCATGGGTTGCAGTTTAGTAGTATCTGTGAGCCAAATTATTCTTAAAAGAAACCATTGGGGAAAAAAAGGAACCACTGGGTGTAGAAATTACAATCTGAATAGATATTTCAAAGAGAAAATTATCACTTTATTTAAAATAGATGAATGAATTATCTTGAGCTATGTTCTATCCCTTAATTATTCTATTACAGATCATAACTCCTCCGGGAAGAGTGTGTGGTTTAAGGACACCAATGAGCATTTACAGAATATTAACAAACCAACAATTGGCTGATGATTCACCCTGGATTTATGCCAGGGTCTGTGAAAGAACTCAATAAACACGATATGCATTTCAAAAACTAGTAATCATAATTAAAATTTCCCAACCCCTCAATCCTATAAATTATATTAAGTACAAGATGAGCTTTTGCCCTGCTTCAACTCCCCTTACAGCGTCGAGGGCACTATGATCGTCAGCTTTGGGGGTCGTTGGGATACAATCCAATATTCTTCAAAGAAAAAGGTGATGTTTGACTTTCTCTGTTTTTCCAATGTAGGGGGACAGGGCTGCATGCTGCTCTCTGAAACCCTCACGGTTTCCTCTGGCTATGATCTCTTCTTTATTCCTTAGTGAGACTTTTTCTTTTCCAATGAGCAGTGCAATTTACTAATTTTGTTTTCTTTTATGTAATTCGGCTTTTGTCACCCGTTTGTCATTTCGATAGAGACTTTAAAGGGCAAATCCTTGGGATCCACTGTGTGCACCCCCTTTCCCCGGGGATGTCAATCCGCGTCTTCAGCGACCGGAAAAGCAAACGATGACCCTGGTAATACAAGAGCATCTGGACTCCCGCTCGTCGGCCCCTGGGACCTGCCCGCGCCGCGCAGCCTGTCCCGGGCGGATCAGCACCGCGCCCGGCCCGCGGGAGGAGGGACGCGGACAGCAGCCTGGAGCCGGAGCTCACAAAGACAGCCCTGAGCGGAGGGCAGCGCTCGCCCGCCCGCCCTGGGGACCGACCCGGGTGCGCAGCCTCAGCTCAGCTTCTCCACGCCTTCCCTTCTGCTCATTTTATTATCCGGTGGAGGGGTGGGGGGGGGGAGGGAGGAAAGCAGTCCCACCCCTCTGCCCTACCTCCGCCTCTCATTGGCCCGACGCCCTGAGCGCGTCACGCTGCGATGCACCAATGGCCACGCGCAATACTGCGAGGTGGGCCGGGCCCGAGCAGGGAGTGGGCGGCGGGTCGGCGTAGCAGCCCCGACGCGGCTCTGCCACCATCGCTGAGGTGCCGCTGCTCCCACAGACGCTCGCGAGCCGCCCCCCGCGCTCCGGAGCCTCCTCTTCCTCTCGCACACCCCGAGCAGCTCGCCCATCTGGGCCTCGGTCCCCGCCTCCTCTTTCCCCCTCCTCGTCCCTCTCGCGCTCCCCACATTGTCTCTGCCTCATTTTCTCTCTTAGTTGAGGCAAAAAAAAAAAAAAAAAAAAAAAAAAAAATCACCACCCTCCTCAGGGAGCCCCTCGCCCTCCGAAAAACAAAACCAGACATGATCCTGGGCTCCTGCTTCTGAAGGCTCGGGCGGACCAGGAGGCGGCGGCGGAGGAGGGAGCCAGGGCTCGAGTCGCGGGAGAGGTCGCGGCAGGGAACCCCCGGCCCCCGTTGCGTCCCCGCGGGCGGGTCCCTCGGCCTCGGCCCGCACAGCGCGGCCTCGCCGCCCCCGCCCCGTCCCCGCCCGCACTTCCGGAGCCGGCCGCACACGCCTCCGTGGATGGTGTAGCGCCCTCGGGAAGGTACGTGACCGCGGCCGCGATCCCGGGCCCGCGCGGGCGGCGTGGGGGGGCCGAGTCGGGGGGAGCGGGCTGCGTGGACGCCGCGGGAGTCGGGGGTCGCGGCCCCGGGCCGCGAGGTGGCGGAGAATAAAGGGCCGGCGGCTCGCGTGGTCCCGCGCGCCTGGCTGGCGAGTGTGTCCCGTGGCTTGTGACCCTGCTCCCGCTTGGCTCCCGCTTGGCTCCCGCTGCTGCACGCTCGCGTGCTCGTCCGAGGTTAAACCGATTCATGTGACTCAATTATTGGCTGCGCCGTGGGAGGGGAAGGAAGTCAGCGAGCCGAACTATACATTTCTTGCATGTTTGTGGATTTAGGGGTCTTGGAGGCGCGTTCTTAGGAAAGTATCATTTTCACATTAGGGGAAAGATTCCTCCTTTGTGCTGTTCATCCCTAGTTCTCTGCTCCGTGTGATAACGAAACGATGAAACCAAAAATTACTTGGAACAGAATAGGATTCCTAACTATCTTGTGTTAGTTTTGCTGTCACGAGATTGGCTTCTATTTTATTTTATTCTTTTTCAGTGTTGTGGAAAGTACAGAAGTAGTTGTATATAGAATGGTGTGTGTGTGTGTGCGTTTGCGTTGGGAAGGGGGAAAGTATTGCAGGTTTCCTTTGAAACCGGTTGTTTGAGAAGTTGGTGAAAGGAAAACAAAATGATTCATTGTCGAATTGTCATTTTTCTCTGTCTCTTTTCCAAGGTTTGCTTACAATTTTTCTGGATTACAGACGTCAAACACTGATTTAAGCAAAATGTGTCCTTGAGAAGCCGGGTGTTTTAAATGTTTCAGTATGGACTGCTATTTTAAGATACATTTTAGAAAGTAGTTTTATCTGTATGTTGAAATAGCTTCCTCCAAAAGCAATTTTTTAAACACAAAAAAGATAAGTAGCGAAAGGGTGAACTTGGTGGATTACAAAACAGACGTTTAATGTAATGCAATCTGATGGGTGGTATGTTCATATTTCAAACAGCTTTGAGAATTGCTTTCCCTTTCGAGAGAGACCTTTTTGTCTGGTGTACACTGGTTTCTTTGGTCTCAGCCTGTTGGGGGAGGGGAGGAAGGCTGGCTCTGTACAATAATAAAATCATCTTTGGGTAGACACTTCTTTCCATGGATTTGCTTGCTGAGTTAATTGTAAAACAGTTTTGCTTTTGATGGCCTAGCCTGGGTGGAAAGCTGGCTTCCAGCTCTCCCTGTTGTTGAGGTCAAAGGGAAAAGAGGCACACACACACACACACACACACACACACACAATGGCAGGCTGAGGGCTCATTGTTCTTTCATACACACATTCATTCTCTCTCCCATATTTGGGACTAGGTTTGCACAGACAAACAGCTCTTTTTGGGAGAGAGAAGATGGGGGCGGGGAGGGTGCTTTTTTTTTTTTTTTCAGCTTTCTTTCTGCCTTATGGCTGGCCTTTTTTTTTTTTTTTTTTTTTGCAACCTTGCGGGGCAAAAGAGTACACGGAGAACTAAAGGATACTCAGAAACATATTCAGAGACTCCTCTTTTTTGTTTCCCTTGCTCCCCCTGCTTTCTCTATGTGGAGATAAAATTCCTCTTTATGTGACATGGCCCTTAGAGTCAGCTCTGAGTCTTTTCATATTCCTCATTGCCTCCAATTTTGTTGGAGACAGCGATTTGTTCACTTTGACTATTACTGTAGTGAATGTGACCCTCTTTTCTGTCTCAGTTAAAATGATAAAGATTGTCTTTGAGGTTACAAGAGTGTGAGTGTATGATTTGTGGTCTCAAGGTGTGATGGTCAGATTTGCTGGCTGTTGAGGTCTCAGTGAGGTGGTTTTTTGTAAATAGAGTGGTAGGGATTTTTAAGAAGAGATGATGTTTTTCTGCTTTAGAGCTGGTGTGGGGCTTCTCTGAGCACTGGACAGGCCTGAGAGGCTACTTTGGGTAAACCCAGCACCGGGCGGGGTGGAGGTTGGTGTGAACTCTGGAGGGTTGCAGGCTAGCACCGTCTGCTGGTTAATTGCTCTGACCCAGCCTGAGGCAGAGGGTGGGGGAGGGGATTAAGGGCTCAGGCTTAATGATTTTCTTTTAAATGCAGTTGCAGTGTCTTTCTACAAAGGACACCTCTTGGAGATGCTAATACAGATGCCCCTGGACTAGCACGTTTGCGTGGAGGCTTTATTATGTTCTTGGCTTTGCCTTGACATTAATTTGTTCTGTTACCAGAGGTGTTTACACATTGTGACTTTTTTTTTTTTTTTTTTTTTTGGTGGAACCAGGGATTGAACTCAGTCCTTTGCGCTTGCCAGGGAAGCACTTATTCCACTGAGCCATCTCCCCGGCCCCACACATTGTGACTTTTAAGGCTGCTTTTGAATTGATACTCTTACATCTTTAAGGAAAAAATATAGTTTATCATGAAATGATACACAAAATAAGAGGGTTTATTTGGGTTATAGGTGTTGGAAACTATACACTAGTGCTCTCTTTTTTAAAAATATCATTTAAGAAGTCACAACTGTGCTATAGAAAGTAAAATTCTAGCACTGTGCTGAGAGTTTTCTAAGTGACTTAGAGCGGGCAGAAGAGGTTGGGGAGGAGTTGAGGGTGGGGAAATCTCATAAAATCAATTAGGTTTTGTATACCTAATAGTACTGCATTACAATAGTGTTTTTAGCAGTCATACTAACATAAAGTAAGTTTTAGGGGTGGCTTATGGATTTGACCTGTATAAATAGAAGGCCAGAGACAATTGGAAATGAATGTGTATGCAGGTTAACATGAATTTCTGCTCAAAGGTTCGAAAATCAGCATACAATTTCATATGTAATCTGCTTGATAAATACCATAAAAGTACTCACTATTATTACGTATCCTAACCCATCTCAATTGTTTCAGCACAATGAACTGTTAAGAGTTTGCGTCTTGGGGCTGGTGAGATGGCTCAGTGGTCTAAAGCACCTACTTAGAACAAGCTAAGCTAAGTGAAGCACAGGGACCGCGGTTCAATCCCCCAGCACCACATGCCAGCCAGCCCCGCCCCCTGGTGGGCTGAGCTGGCCACACACACGCACACACACACACAAACACACACAAATAAATAAAAAAAAAGGCAATCCAGGGCTGGGCAGATAGTTCAGCAGCATAAGTACCTGCCTAGAAAGTACAAGGGCCTGAGTTTGATTTCCAGTTACCCCCCTTTCAAAAAAGCCCGTCCAAATCAATAAATAAAATATACCAGTTCCTTGGCCAACTCTGACTGACTGGTTGATCTATAGAATTTTGAAAAAATGGGATTGTAATACAGTACTGATGGTATTGTAATTATATGTACTATTGAACAAACACTGAGCTACAGTATGTCAGGGCCCCCCCCCTGTGATTTCTGCCTTTCTCAAAACCTGAACATGGGTGGGCTGTAGGGGTGCACACTTGTAATGCTAGCATTTGGGAGGCTGAGGCAGGGATCACTGAGTTTAAGGCCAGCCTAACCTACACAGTAAGACCTTGTAGCTCAAAACCAAAAACCAAAACCTGAATATATTGAATATTTCGGATTTCATAAGCACCCATTACTTTGAAATCGGTTTTGAATCTTTAACATCTTGTTCAAATTTCAGTAATCAGAAAAACATTTAAGTAGTAAAATAAGGTTGTACTTGCCAAGTTCTTTTGAGAATAGTATACTTTCCTGCTAACTGCTTTGGGCAGCTACTTTTGCAGTTGATTTAAAGGTTAAGATACCGGAAAATTCAGATGTTTAAGTGAGTCTAGTGTAACTGCTGTGAACTACATTTCACACACGTCCTGAAACAGTACACTATTGTTCTTACATAATCAGATTCTGGTAACACTTCTTTGCTTTGGTTATTCATAGTTTCTAGCAGCGAGGAACTCATGGAATTATATTTAAATAACTGTTAGTTACTGATATCCTGATAATTACCTCAGAGCTTAAGCTTGCCTTGTACTGTGACTTGGGCTTTTGGTGAGCATGTTACATATGTCCTTAGTTTCTTGTCAGGCAGGGTTCTACTATTTCTCAAGCAGTGTAAAATAGGTATTTATTTATTAGAAAATT